AGTTTCCTCATATGTAAATAGAGTGATAATACCCACTGATTTTGGCCACTATGAAAATTAAGTGAGCTAAGGCAGTGTTAAGCATCTAATGCAATGTCCAGTATACACTAAGTGCTCAATGGAGCTTAACTGCTCTTATTGTTACTCTGTGCAGCCACAGGCCTCGCCACAATGAAGCAGATACTGTCCATGACCTTGAGGAGCTCTTGATCAAGTGGGAGAATGGGACAGGGGCAGTAACAATCCAGTGCGGCAGATGCAATAACGAACCCTGCCTAGGGCATGGGGAGGCTGGAAGCAGTGTGTGCCCTGCATATTGAGGGATAATAGGAGTTTGCCAGGCACACTTAGGGAGAGGGAATGCACCAGGAAGAGGGAAGAGCTGTTCAAATGTCTGACTACCCCTCATGCACATTTACACGTGCCAGGCACTTTTCTCAATACTTTACAGTAACTGTCTCATTAAATTCTCAAATGATCTATGAGTGAGTCTTATCACGTTCCCATTTTACAGATGAAGAGCCTGAGGCACAGAAGCAACTCTGATCCCTCTCCATGCTCCAGGAGGGATCAGCTGAGGCCAGCTCATAGGCAGCCTCGAATGCCAACCTGGGAGTTTGGATGATTTCCTGTTGGCAGTGAGAATCCAGCCATTGGAGGGCTGTCAGCGGTGCTGAGAGATGAGCAGATGAGGTCAAGGATGGGCTGGAGGAGGGTGGGAAGTCAGGCAGGGGCAGATGAGGAGGTGTGGGTGGAGAAGAGGGGACAGACGAAAACACGGTGAGGACTTAGCATAATGCAGCAGTAGCATGAGCCAACGGGTGCTGAGGGTTCTTATGGGCGAGCCACCATCCTAAGTGCCAGTTAACCCTCAAACCTTATTACTCTCATCCCCTAGTTACTGACGAAGAAATCGAGACTCAGAGAGATTAAATAACCTGCCTGAGGCCACATGGCTAGTCAGCAGCTGGGATGGGATTTGAACACAGGCAACTAACTCAAGCCACTCATTTAACCGTTGCACTGTCCTGGAGAGGAGTCACGAAACACTGGAAGTGAGAAAGGAGTCAGAGGTAATCCTAACATGTCACTTAGTACTGGGCCTGNGGGGACTTGGCCATTTTGTGGGAAAGATGTAATAGAAAAAACTTACCCTCTGACCAAGGTTGCATTGGACAGAACCAATTGGGAAATGTTCTGATGAGTTGGGGTGCCAATGGCCACAAAATGTATATTCAGAAACTCTTAAAATGTGCCAGATTCCACACTAGAGTTTTACATTCATTATGTCTTCCAAAGGGAGAAAGAATTACCCTCATTTCACAGATGAAGACACTGGAGCTCAGAGAGGGCAACAGAGTTGCTCAAAGTCACACAGCAAGGAATAGGGGAGCTGAGGTTTGAATGGCAGGATGCTTCCAGGACCTCTGCTCTTAATCATATGGTTTGCCAAAGACAGACCACTCCACCACCACCCCAAGGCACTCCCCTGCCTGCTTGTACTCACCCTCGCAGCAGCTTGACTTTGATACCCCCCAAGAGGGTGTCACATCGCTCGATGACCAGCCTAGGGTAGCCTGTGCGGTCCATGGTCAGTCGGACCTTGGCCGTGATGTTCACCTCCACGGCAATGTCCAGGAAGCCAATGAGACTGGAGGAGACAATGGGGCCAGGGAGATGGAGTTAACGCCAGCCTCTGGGCAGCTTAGCCTCACTCAGACCTCCTTGGCACCTCACACCCTGACCTTTTGCCCTTGCTTTCCCTGCGCCTTGCTGTTATGCCTCTATTATGCCCCTTGCTCATCTCTGGGGGTCCCAAACAGGAAGCCTTCCCTGGTCTCTCAGGTTGTCTGTGAACAAATCTATGTCCCCGCTCAGTCTGTGAGAGTGTCAAAGACTGGGAATAGGAATCAATAAATGAACTCTATGTATACATTTTGGTTTCCAAGGTGACCACCAGTGACCTAACTTTATAGACAAGTCCTCAATCCACGGGGTGAAATCAATGCAAAAGTCCATCCTCTGAGGTCTCTGATGAACACATACTAGGTGGCAGGCACCTTCCCTCACTTGTGGCCACAGCCACCTGGGAAAGGAGGTGTCATTATGCCCATTGCAGGTGAAGACACTAAGGCTCAGTGACATTAGGGGACTGCCCTGAGTTCACACAGTTTAAAAGAGAGTCAGAATTTGAACCCAGGCCACCACCTGACTCCAGCCTCTCAGATCTTAACCATCACGCAGGCTGCCCTTACTGCTGACAGGGACTGCAAGATGGCTGCAAGAGCCCAGAGGTATAAGCCATGCACGCGCTGGTAACACGTTAGACTTTATTAGTCTTTGCATTACAGAGAAAGAGGCTGAGGTATAGGGATGGGGAGTGACCTGCCTAGGGTCTCCAGACAGGACATAGGGTTCTGGGGTCCCCTCTAGGGTCGAGGGCACACACCTCTTCCCATTGATGGCCACACGGGTGTATAAGTTCAGGTAGACACCTATGCCTGGCAGGAGCCGCACGGACACCCGAGGGAGGGTCAGCTCCACGATGCGCAGCCTGCATGGTACCGAGAGCGACAAGAGAGCAGTCACCCCCCCACCCCGCCGCCAGTCACTCCACTCACGTGGGAGCGCCCTCCCTCACACCCACTTCTCTGCACCCCATTCAGTCGTCCTGACTCTAAAGAGACTGAGGTTTGTGGAAAACACAGAAACGTTAAAGACACACACACACAAAAAAAGCCACAACCCATACTTCCACTGCCCAGAGACCCACTCTTTACAATTCCATGTATTTCCTTTTTGTTTTTTAATTTAAAAATACTATTCCTTTGGCTTGTTCCAGCCCCTCTTTGCCTGGTTCCCTCCTACACATTCTCAGATTTTAGCTCAAGGTCCTCTCTTCGTCCAGGAAACCTCCCCTGGTCTTCTCCACTTCCTCATTTCTCCATGAACTTCTGAGCACTGTTGTATTTGTAGGATTATTTCCAGGCTTCTTCATCAATCCCCGTATATCCTACCAGCCTTCCAGCTCCATAAGGACAAGAGTTACAGCTTTTCTTGGCTAACCATGGGCCCCTGCCTCCAGTGACAACATAGTGCCCCAACCATCGTAGGGGTTGGAAATATTGGCTGAACTAAAGGTGAGTATGAGGAAGAAGGTGGACATAGCGGAAATTATGATACATGTGTGTGATTTTAGGTCCTTAGGCTTTTCCCACCTGAACTATATTACTATGCCATCCTGCAGATGAGGAAATCAAGACTCAGAGAGAGGAAAAGAATGGCCCAGAGTCACACACACATATAAAAGGTTGAGCTGGGCCTCAAATTCAAGACTGTGTCATGACAAGCCCCCAAACCATACAGTTTGGGATTCTCAAGACGTCCAGTCCTGAGGCCAAGCCCTGACGTGTATGGGGCTCTGAAGACTGTCCCTCCTCCAACCCTAGGCCTCTGGGGGTGATCACCCCTGTCTGGAGGTTCATCACAAGGGGTTTGGCAGGGAGAACCCGGCCCCTCCTTACCCTGTGATCCCCTGCACGGTGCTCAAGATGCCGCCCTCGCCGAGCACACCCAGAATGCCCCCTCCTCCGAGGAGTCCTCCGCCACCAAGAAGACCGCCTCCGCCGAGCAGGCCCCCTTGTCCCGACAGGATGCCATCGGCTGCCAGCATGCCTCCACTGCCCAGCAAACCACCTGGACCCAGCGCCCCAGTGGCCACACCGGGTGGGATCTCTCCTGGCCGTAGCTCTCGCCGGTGAAGCCTGCCCATAGTCGCTGCACCTTCGGCTGATCTATACTGCCCATGGCCCCTGTGGTTGCCATATGCATTCTCAGCGTTGCGGTAGTCACCATTTCGGAGGTCCCTGATGCTTCCATCATGTTCAAGGATCTCCCCATATCGGTATTTACCCCCCAGCTGAGCGGTATTGTCATTGGTCTCGATGTGACCATACTTGTAATTACCACCAAGCTGGTAGCCATTTGGAGATTTTGGAGGGGCATCTCGAACATGGAAATCGTTGTAGGGAACACCACCAACACCTCGGGGGAATTCAACGCCTCTGTAGTCATCGTAATAGTGTCGGCCACCACCCAAAAGACCACCACCACCACCACCACCCAAGAGACCACCACCACTGCCACCCAGCAACCCACCACCACTGCTTCCACCACCACCCAGAAGCCCCCCACCACTACCGCCACTGCCACCCAATAAGCCTCCTCCAACTCCACCCAAAAGGTCACCGCCACCCCCTCCACCTCCGCCACCAAGCAGGCCCCCCAGAAGACCACCTCCCCCACCACCTCCATTTCCACCAAGCAGACCCCCCAGGAGAGGCCCACCACCATCACCAGCAGCTTTACCCATGGGCACCTCTCTCAGGGCTGAGTGGAGAGTATCGCTTTGCTCTAGGGAACCCGAAATGGCTGCAGAGAAGCAAGGATGTTAGTCAGGGGTTCTTCCCTTTCTTCCCCTCCAGCCCCCAGGCCCTGTTTGGAGCACTGCTCCACTCTCTGGGCCCCACTTTTCTCATAGGTAAAATGCCCAGGTCCAGTGGGAGGACTCCTCCAGACCAATCCAGCCCTGACATCCTGGTGAGCTCCTTAGCTGCTGGCTTTGACCTGCTCACGCTTTAACTGGATCTC